TCGATCTGATTGTTGTTGTCCTTGTTCCTATTCATCTGAAACATTAACATTATCAATTCGAAGACAATATCATTCATCTTCGTCAACACATCAATCAGGTCGAGGTATACTTTCAATGCATGCATTAAGTTATGGAGTTGTACGTGTTGATCAAGATAATAGTTTAACATCATTAACTATACAAGATGTTGGTCATGTATTACCTGGTGCTATTATTGGTATTGTTAAAATTGATGGACCACCATTACTTTGTCAAACAGATGAAATTGGAGAAGTTGTTATATCATCAAAAGCAACACCAAATGGTTATTGGGCATTACCTGGATTATCAACAAATGTTTTTAAAGTTATACCATTAGGATCGGATGAAAGACCAATTGGTACACAAGAATTTGTTCGATCAGGTTTACTTGGATTTCTTGGACCAGTAAGTCTTAATCTTCTTGTTTTGCTTAAATCAATACATATTATCATATATATATTTTAAAAAGAATCTTTCAAGGATATTTTAAACGTTGTTTAACTTGACCTTGTTTGACTAAAATCATTGTTGATCCTCCTTCTTCTTATTTATTTAACTTGATCTTTATTACTTAAAAGATTTTCATTCAGAATACATTTCGAGTTAAAAGTAAATGTCCTAAATCGTACTACATTAACTTGAAGAAGGTCAAGATGAGAGAAACTGAAATTTAGATTATCTTATTAGATTTGTTGAGGCTTGTTTTTATAATGCTAATATTTCTTCCTCTTTTGTTTGATTCAAAAAAATGCAAACAGTTTTCTCCTTGAACGACAATTAAGTATCGACATACTCAATATCTAATTTAAATAATCTTTAGGGTGGCCTTCTATTTGTAACTGGTAGTCGTGAAGGTTTAATGCAAGTGGCTGGTCGTAAACATAATAGTGATGATCTAATTGCAACAGCATTAGCAGTTGAACCAATGAAAGTTGTTTATCGTGCACGTGTTGTTATTTTTTCTATACGAATTCTACGTGATGAAAGAATAGTTATTGTTGCTGAACAACGACCGGATATTGGTGAAGATGAATGTTTTCAATGGATGAGTCGTGTACTACAAGCTATTGATTCAATACATCAAGTTGGAGTTTATTGTCTTGCTCTATGTCCAGCAAATACTCTACCTAAAGTATTTTTTTTTTAGTTTTTATTTTCTATATATTAGATATTAATTAATTTCATATATTTTTATAGAGTCATTCAGGTATGATTCATGTTCAAGAAACACGTCGACGTTTACTTGAAGGAAATTTACATCCGTGCTCGTATGAAATTAAAAGATTGTTATATATTTAAATATATATATATACATTTTTTTGTCTAGGGTTCTTATGTGTCCACATTCATGTGTACTTAATTTACCCAAACCACGAGAACATCATCCTGAGCGAGAAGTTGGTCCTGGTGCTATTTTAGCCGGTACCATTATACAAGGAATGCGTTTAGCTGAAGCAAAAGGTGCTGATATGACATTTAACGACGATCAAGATACATCTGATCAAGGAAAAAAAGTATGAGTATTATTGATAGCTAATCAAGTTTTCTAATTTTAATATTGATAGTTTCAATATATTGATGATATTCTTCGATGGCGTGCGATAACAATGTCTGATCATATACTTTATTCTGTCATTAACGCAAAAGTTCGTATATTTCTTCTTTTTTTTACAGAAATAAAACATCGTTATTTTATTTTATAAATTATTTAGGGACAAGAATCAGCACATATAACATGTGCAGCAATGCATAAACGTAGTGAACGTATTGCATTAACAATTCTCGATCGTATCGAAATAAAATCATGCGATCATATTGCTCTATTATATCCGCCTTGTGTAGATCTTGTTTCTTCTTTTTATGCTTGTTTATATATTGGTAATTAAAACAATAACTAACTTTTTCTATAAACTCAAAACTGATTATTTTTCTTTTGTCTATGAACAGATGTTGTACCAGTATCTATTCGTCCACCACATGCACAAAATCTTCTAAATACATTATCAACTGTTAAAATGATGGTTGAATTAAGTCAAGCAAAAGTTATATTAACTAATGGTTCAATTGCAAAATTACTTCGATGTAAAGTACGTATATTATTCATGGACTAGTCTTTTTTTTTATTTATCTAATACTAACTTTTATTTTAGGAAGCTGCATCATTACTTGATCCAAAATTATGGCCATTAATAATTGATACAGATGATTTACCTAAACTAAAGAAAAATCAAGTTCTTCCAAAAAAATCAACACCAACTCAAGCTCAATCACTTTGCTATTTGGATTTCAGTATTTCAACAACAGGTTCATTAACTGCTGTGAAGGTATATTAAAAACGAATATTTTTTTTTATCTAAAATTAAAATTTGAATTTTTATAGTTATCATATGGTGCTATTGCTAATTTATGTCGCTCAATCAAATTAGCATGTGAATTATATCCAAGTCGAGAACTTGTTCTTTGTTTGGATCCATATAATGGACTTGGATTAGTGCTCTGGTGTATTATCAGGTAAATACAATTTTAAAAATTGAATAAATTTCGATTTTGATATTTTAATTTTTTATAGTATCTATGCTGGTCATCATTCAATTCTTATTGATCCGGCTGAAGTTGAACTTAACCCATCAGTATGGATGAATACAATTAGTCATTATAAAAGTAAAATAATTAATTCATTTTTTCATATTGATAAATATTTTTGTTTTAGTTCGTGATACTTTTTGTTCCTACTCGGTGATGGAACTTTGTACAAAGGGATTGAGTACATCCATTGTTGATCTTAAAGTTAGTTGAAATGAATTTAATTCATCTACTATTTTTAAAAATACATATATATTAATTCTCTTTTAGAACCGTGGTTTATCATTATCATGTATTCGAACATGTGCAGTCGTAGCTGAAGAACGACCTCGTTTACAATTATTAAATTCATTTATTAAATTATTTCAAACATTAGGTCTTAATCCGCGAAGTGTTAGTACAACGTTTGGTTGTCGAGTGAATATAGCTATATGTTTACGAGGCGCAAGTGATCCTGATCCAGCTCCTGTCTATGTTGATCAACGAGCATTAAGAAATGATCGTGTAACTCTAGTCGAAAAAGGTAGTCCACATAGTTTATGTTTATTGGAATCAGGAAAAGTAAGTTTTCAGAATTGTTTTTTCCTCTTAATTTGAATAAACAAAAAAAATTTTTTTTTCTATCAGCTTTTACCGGGTGTTAAAGTTGTTATTGCTAATCCGGAAAGTAAAGGTCAATGTGCAGATGCACATTTAGGTGAATTATGGGTTCAAAGTGGTCATAATTCACTGGGCTGTCAGATAATCAGTTATGGTGATAATCATCAACATCATGGATCGAATCATAATCCAGATCAGTTTTATTCACATATGGCTACGGGTGATACACGACAATTATATGCTAGAACAGGATATTTAGGATTCGTTCGTCGAACAGATTCAATTGCTGCAGATGGAAGTAAGTTAAAAATGAAGAATAAAATTAAGTTATTTATTATTTATCTTCAGAAAACCACGATGCTGTTTATATAGTCGGTTCTCTGGAAGAAACACTTCTTATTCGTGGTATGCGTTATCATCCAACTGATATTGAAAATACAGTTATGCGTACACATAAACGTATTTGTGAATGGTATGATTGACTATTATATTATCATAAAAAAATTTTTTTATATTTATTTAAAATTAGTGCTTGTTTTACTTGGACAAATTTACTTGTTGTTGTTGTTGAATATGATGGTCTTGAACAACATTCACTTGATCTTGTACCACTTATAACAAGTGCAATTCTTGAAGAACATTATGTGATTGTTGGTGTTCTTGTCATTGTTGATCCGGGTGTTGTACCGGTCAATTCACGTGGTGAAAAACAACGTATGCACTTACGTGATGGTTTTGTATCTGATCAGCTTGATCCTATATTTGTTGCTTATAATATGTAGCTTTTTCTTATATGTGTACATACATATACGTATCTATAATACTCACCGAATGTTTGGCAGATATTTTTTAATAAAAAAAAAAATTTGTTTTGTGAGAAAGACGAAAAAAAACAGTAGTAGTCATTTGGATCTTTGATATTGTTTTTTTTTTGTGTTTGTTTTTGCACATAATAAATCTAATAAAATGCACGTATTTCTTATATTGCAGTTCATTGTTTTCTATTTCATTATGTATTCCATTCTATTCTCTTTGCTATGAATTATTACGTTCGTTTCTTTTCTTTTTCATTGAATTGTGACAAGTTTTTTTCCTTTCATATACTATGAAAAATAAAAATATAAAATACGAAATGAGATATCAAGATCGATTGTATGGTCAATACTATTTAAAGAATTTTAGTAGGGAAAAAACTATTTTATTTATTATATTTCAAAATATGAGAAAAAAGAAAACAAGTGTGTTTTTATCTTTAAATAATTTAACAATAAGGATGATAATAAGAATAATTTGGTGTATAACCAAAATAAGAAGAATGTTGATATACTTGTGGTGGTTGTTGTTGTTGCGGTTGATCAGAGATATTATAAGAATATGAACTTGATGTAGATGAATTATTACTATCTTCGAGTAAATCAGTTAATACACGAATATATGCTGAAGCCGTTCGAAGTGTTTCAATTTTAGTTAATTTATCTTCTAACATTGCACCATGATTGGATGAATCAGTTGAAGAATAACATGAAATAGAATCAATTGGTAATAATGTACGTAAATGTTCAAGAGATTCATTGAGTAAACGCATACGAGTACGTTCACGATCATTAGCACGTGAACGACGATGATATTTTAATTGAGT